CCCATAAATTACCCATGGCAACTTTAATGTAATACAGTTTGCTATATTTACTTTCGGCCCACAGTTCTCAATCTGGCTTGGATTTTGGCCCTTCATAAGAAAAAAGTTTGCCACCTCTGCTTTAGAGTATAAGTACTAGAGGACTGCTATGTTAGGATGAAGATTAGTAGTAAACGTGTATGTATACTTGTAAATTACTTCTAGTCAGTAGACTGTTTGGACCACAAGAAAATAAAGTGACTGAACCTATGCTAATGACATGCTAAGTTTTACCAATTTTAAAATGAACATTTTAACCATTGCAGTCTAATTATTTCAGTGTTACAAGTTAATATTGTCACAGGGATAACAGTTTATAGGTATACTGATATCAGGTAGCGATCAAAGCAACTTGATGCTTTAAATGTTGTAGCTATTGTTACTCCAATAGGTGATGACAAATGTGCATTTAATACAGTATTTATGAGTATAATTTGTTCAAGAAATTTTTCAAACATTAATCATTCTGTAATGTAACATAAGTCTTAATTAGTTATTAAATCAGTCGTTTAAACTGGAATTTAAATACCATTTCAGTTACATTTTAATATGATCTAAAAAAAGACTGCTGCAAATATCTTTTTATCAGAACCTCTAGTAAATTACTTATTTTGCCTGTTCAGGAAAAAAAAACAATTTTCAGTCTATCCAGAAATGTGTAGTTCCAATTTGTGTCCAGTAACATCATATGTATGTGTGTTTTGCAGATATATGGTGATGCTTGGACTAAAGTGCAGCGTGCACTGGAAATCTGGAGTGGACTCGGCATGTCTTTAACTGGAGTTCATACATGTGGAGATTACATGTTCAGTGGACACACTGTGGTGCTCACCATGCTTAATTTTTTTGTCACTGAATGTAAGTACACAAACTCCGGAGAGTGTTATCCTCTTGTGAATCAGAATTATTAGCCCCCCTGAATTATTAGCCGCCCTGTTTATTTTTTTTCCCCAATTTCTGTTTAATGGAGAAGATTTTTTTTCAACACATTTCAAATCATAATAGTTTTAATAACTCATCTCTGCTAACTGATTTCTTTTATCTTTGCCATGATGACAGTAAATAATATTTTGCTAGATATTTTTCAAGACACTTCTATACAGCTTAAAGTGACATTTAAAGGCTTAGCTAGGTTAATTAGGTTAACTAGGCAGGTTAGGGTAATTAGGCAAGTTATTGTATATTGATGGTTTGTTCTGTAGACTATCGGAAAAAAAATTGCCTAAAGAGTTAAATAATTTTGACCTTAAAATGTTTTTAAAAAAAATTAAAACTGTTTTAATTCTAGCCAAAACATAACAAATAAGAAATATAGTTTTTAAAAAAAATATTATCAGACATACTGTGAAAATTTCCTTGCTCCGTTAAACATCATTTTAAAAAAGAAAAAAATTCAAAGGGGGCTAATAAATCTGACTTCAACTGTATCTAATATAGAGTTTAAAAAATGTATTCAATAAATGAATTATGTGACTGATTGTAAGATTTTCAAAATACATTCTTGGTCTCTTGAATGTATTTTGGCTTTTATGTCAGGAGATTAATGTAAACATGGCTCACTATATACAGTCTTAATGATTAGGTTTAAGTGGTATTTGTAAGGAATTGGATGCAAGCAGACAATGGCTGTTTGTAAACATACTGTACAGTGTCGCCTGTTGTTAAAAACTAAGCTCAGAAACGATTCAAGAGAATATTATGTATTGTATTTTAAAAATCTCGCAATCCAAGCAGAATCAATTCCTCAAATTATACAATTCTACTGTATATAGGAAATCCCCACAGTCATTTCCCACACTCCCAGAGGAAATGGTAAATAATTGTACTGAAGCAGACACAAAGTTCTTCAAAATACTTTTATATCATTTGCTCACTATTTACTCGCTCTTTAAGAGGTTCCAATCCTTATGAGTTCTTAAAACCTGTAACCGTTGACTTCCATAGTATTGTTTTTTTCCTACTATGAAATTCAATGGTTACAGGTTTTCAGCTTTCTTCAAAAGATCTGCTTTTGGAAAACATTTAGAACCACTTGAGTGTTTATGTAGTGAGTAAATTTTCATTTTTGGATGAACTATGCTTTTAAGCATGTGTAGATGACTTGAGTTAAAGTAAAAAAAATAAATCAATAAAGTAACCCAATGTCAGCAATGTGATTGGTCAGCTCGTCTGTCAATCAAACTCCCAGTAAAGGGTCAGTTGCATTATATTTCAAATGTTATGGATAGCTCACCAAAAACTAAAAACTGTCTCATCATTTCTTCTCTCTCATGTGATTTTTAAACCTTTGAGTTTCTTCTGTTAAGCTCAAAAGAAGATATTTTGAAGAAGAGTGGTGGCTAGCACCCAATCTACATCCGTAGTAGAAAAAACAAAATGGAAGTCAATGGTTGTCTCAAACTCAAACAGGACTTAAACAAGTGAAAGATGAGTAAATGATGACAGAATTTTCGTTTTTTGTGAACAATCCCTTTAAAGGTCAATATCATTTATTTTTTTAGTGTGATCAGTTGCTTTATGTAAACTTTCAGACACGCCACGTAACTGGAACTTCATCCACACCATGTCATGGGTGCTGAACCTGTTTGGTATCTTCTTCATCCTGGCAGCTCATGAACATTACTCCATCGACGTCTTCATCGCCTTCTACATCACCACCCGACTCTTCCTGTATTACCACACGCTGGCCAACACACAGGCCTATCAGCACAGCCGAAGAGCACGTGTCTGGTTCCCGCTCTTCTCCTTCTTCGAGTGCAACGTGTTGGGACCCGTTCCAAATGAATACTGCTGGCCTTTCCCCACACCTTCCTTCATCAACATATTGCTAGGATAGAGACGCAGTCTTGGGGGAAATTATTTATTTTTTTTATATTTATTGCTGTTGTTTACTTTCTTCCAAAATCTTTAACTGTAAATCAGAGCAGTTGGTTTTGTCGACTTGCACTTTTTATAATTACACCTCTAAATGCCAAACAACAAAGAACATCTTTAATTTTTCTTTGATACCTCATTATTCAGAAAAATAATTAGTGTTTAATGTTTTGAGTATGTCTATAATTGCAGATTTGTTACACTAACGGTATTTCAACTCCTGATCATTTTACAGTATGTTTAACAGAGAGAAGTGCTAATATACTTTGAGTCTTTATTAATTAATGCTGCCTATTCTATTCTTGACATGTCTAATGGTGCATATTTAAAGTCTTACAGCCACAGAGATATAAAACATATCTTTTGCTAACACATTCTTTGACACTTTGTATTGATGTACATTAATATTATTTTTTGTAAGTGATTCCGGGAGTATTTTGTAATGTTTTGTCAATATTTGTATTGAAGACTTTTTAAATCGATTGAATTGTTTAAAGGGAGATATTATACAGCTATTTCATTCATGTGTACGATTCATGTTTGTGCAATTGACATCTGTGAATGTAGCATTCTGTAACACTGTTGTTGTTTTTTTTTAATGTAACTGAAGGCTATGTGAGGTCTTAGAAATTGGGGTATACCTGGAGAATTCTTGAACTAGAATAATAAAAGTTTATTAAATATTTATTAAAATGTGTGCTTTTATGTGGCAAGAGTTATGACAATTACACAGTGCCCTGTATATTAGCTTAAGACCATTTCTGTTTATATAGTTAGGTGTGATGTAAAAAGTGTCGCTTTGAAAATACAGAACAGTTTGATTAGAGATTAACTGATTTAACTGTTCAACCAGTCTGCATATGTTTGTCAGACAAACCCACTCTAACTAAAAAGCACTCGATCCGCGTTACAGATACAGTCTTGCATTTTTTCAGCACCGAGATAATTACGATGGTTTATTTATGTTTACTTAAGTACAAATATGTTTATTTGAAATGGCCAATTTATCTTTATTAACTTCACATGTATGTTTATTATCAAAGTGTAGGATTTTATGTGTTCCCCAGTTTGTACATGGGCTATCAGCAGCTGTGGGATTTCAGTGTTAATTTGTTTTTTATACATTACACTAGGAACTAGTGTACTTTTGCAATAAATCGTTTTTATTTTTTTCCTCATTAACCTCTTACTGTTCATATTGCCTATAGAATAAAATATGGTCTGATAACAGTTTTTTTTTTTTTTTTTTTTTTTAGTAAGATATTTTAGTTGTGAATGAAAATTAGGGCTACTTTATTTCACCAAATGTATTGATTAACTTAACTGCAGTTTTAAAATCATTAGTAGTTTTTTTATTATTATGCAAGAAAGAACATTTACAAAGATACAGTAAGAACAAAGGTTTAAATAAATAAAATTCCAGCAAATTAAACAAGTTTAAATGATTTACACCAAGAAAGAGTTTTCCATGCAATATAAATGTTAGAGTCTTTTAAAGAGTTCACATATAAATCAAAGTCCTTTCTAAAATAAAATTAAGGGTGTTTCTTTGAAAATGTACATTTATGGATGTCAAATGTAGCCAAAAAAAGCTAATTAATAATAAATTTACAATGAGAAGGAGCTACATTCAGAGAGTAACCAAAGAATACAATTTTTGGGAAATATACAAAAGTTTGGAAATAAGACTTTTTTTTAATAAAATCGGTTAACCCAAAGTTAACACCCCCCCATCATCATATAGAGTTAAAAATGTATGAGTAAAAAATGACCATTTAGGGGAAATATTGTTATCAAATTTAGCTAGTTTGGCATTTATTGAGTAGCAATTATGAATGATTTTGATTTAGACTTCAACAGCTTTATGACATAAAAATATTTTTTTTTTGAAGAAGAAGCCAAACTGTTCTCAATCTATGTTATCATATATATTATTAAATAGTAGTTTACATCTGGAAAATGTTGACATTGTTATACATTAAACATTATAAATTAAAGATTGTGGTCATTTTCAAGTGGTCACTCCTGTTATGATTCAGCTAAAGAAACCAATAAATAAATAATAAAGAAAAGAGATTTTTTTTATGTATTAGTGCCAAGGCATACAAAATGAGGTGACATGATCAAACACAGCCTTAAAGAATTAATTAATTGCTGTGGAAAATGTCCTTACCTTCCCATGCTCAAACTCAGTTCTTGTTTAAGCCAGGACAAATAGATTTGATTTATTACAGAAATTATATGATATAAAAAGGTGTGTGTGTGTGTGTGTGTTTGTGTGCGTGTCCAGTCAGCCACTTGTGGAGTCTTAACAGATCCTGCATCAGCACCTGCTCAGACAGCTCAAACACTGACATCATGGTACAGTAACAGTTTATTATTCATAACAGAAAATACAGCTTTTCAGACATTTTCATCAACCAAATACAAATGGTATACGCTCTGGCTCATATGACAAAAGGAGAGGTTCTGTAAAACATTTATATTGCATTTTTGGAAGATATACTTATTTATTTAATATACATTTTTAACCCTTTACTTACATGTTTTCCTTCTAAATCTTCTCAGTGGCTGCTGCGAGTGTGTTCTCTCCTCTTCTTGGTGGTTTCCTGCAATGCAGAGTGTTACATTTATAAACCTCGAGTCGATCTGTTATCCGTCGAAAGCATATTAGACAACATGAAAGGTAATCAAAACGGCTGGTGTATATTTTGTCGATGTTTTATTTTGAGATGTCTTTTGTGCTAATTCAGTTACAGAAAAAAAAATGTAATTTTGTTAACACCATTTTAAGGTCAAAACTATTTGACTCTTAAAGCTATATATATTTTTTGATAATCTACAGAAAAAACCATCATTAAACAATAACTTGTCTAATTATCCTAACCTGCCTAGTTAACCTAATTATCCTAGTTAAACCTTTAAATTTTATTTAAGCTGTATAGAAGTGTCTTGAAAAATGTCTAGTCAAAAATGATTTACTGTCATCATGGCAAAGTTAAAATAAATCAGTAATTAGAGATAGGCTGTTGAAACTATTATGTTTAGTAATGTGTTAAAAAAAATCTTCTCTCCGTTCAACAGAAATTGAGGGGAAAAATAAACAGGGGGGCTAATAGTTCTGTCTTCAGCTCTATATGCATTATTAAATATTAAGGTGTATTTGTTAATATACCATAACTAACATCAAGAAAATAAGGCCAGCTGTTTGTTTATTAACAATAAACATCAAAAATTGAATGTTGTAGCAATACATTGTCCATTGTTAGTGTTAGTCAATACAGTACCCCAAGTAATGTTTAAAAGCAATCTTTTTAGTAAACTGTTTCATCATGTTAATGCTTTTAATCAACTTATATTGTTATAAAGCTGTTAGAATTATTGTTATATTGCATTATTTACCTTCTAAGGATAAATATAAAGATTTCTTTCAAATGTCTCTCAAATAATAATTAATTTATTAATCATATTTACTGTCAATTTAAATATTTATAAAATACACATATAAATAAAATACGTCCATAACATTCACACTGTAAAAAATTTTTATGATCAATTAGTCATGACAGAGTTTATTAAGTTACAGTGAACTAAAAATATACGAAGTTAATCATGTTCTAAGTTAATTTTATAAGTTACACAAGTTGTTATAAGTCAGTTTAACATAAGTGAAGTTCAATGGACTCATAAGGTTGAATTGATTCAGCTTAAAAATTGAAGGCAAACAGGATTTTTTTACAGTGCATTAAATATATATGCATGCAAAAAAAAAATCTAATTTCAGCAAATTGCCAAGGAAATATTGATCATTTTCCTTTCATTATGTTAATAAAATAAGTACAAGTAAAGTGTAATAAACATGAACTTTTCTAAAATGTAGAAAAGAAATATTATAAAAATCTAAGTGAAGTTTAATATTGAACAAAAATTCGAGAGGAGCACGTGCTCATGATTGACCAGCTGACCCACATTATCTAATCACAATCATCCAATTAAAGGAACTATCTTCGTCTGGAAGAAACCCCCCTTCTTCCTCCTTTATCCAGAATGGGCGGTACGGTGGCCCAGTGACTAGCACTGTTGCCTCACAGCAAGAATACCAATGGCTCCGGGTCCTCGCTGGGCCATCTGGTATTTTTGTGTGGAGTTTGCATGTTCTCCCGTGTCCGCGTGGGTTTCCCCTGGGTTCCTCCCACCTTTCAAATATGCTCTATTTTATAGACAAAATAAGCCTAGGTCCTTTTTCTAAATGTCTTACTCTCAAGAAGTTCGCCTTTGAGCCTCAGGAGTGGGTTAAGATCAACCTGAGTTTAATCTCCCCTCACCCTGCGAAAAGGAGAGAGCTCTGGGCCAGACGATCCCTTGAGTTCAGGGCTCTCTCCTGGGCAACATGTCAAACAAGCTATTTATTATTCATGAGCTGAGTGTGAATTCTTATAACTAATATAAATACAAAAAAATCACTCAAATGTAACAGAAAATGAAAAGTGAAAATATTAATAGAAAATTGAATTAATAAATTAATTAATAATAAAACTAAAAGTGTTCAATATCACTCCCCCTGACACTTAAAAAACTAGAGTAGACTATCATTAGGAAAGATATATTAACTCCATACTGTATACATTACAGATATGCTCACTGAATACAAACCTAACAGATCACTCAGATCTTTAGGATCATATAAACTAGAAGTTCCAAGAGTTCAGTCAAAGCAGGGTGAATCTGCCTTCAGCCACTATGCTCCTCACTGCTGGAATCAGCTTCCAGAAATGATCAGATGTGCTCCAACATTAGGCACATTCAAATCAAGACTGAAAACACATCTGTTTAGCTCTGCCTTTACTGAATGAGCACTGTGCTGCGTCCGACAGATCACACTATTATGTTTTTCGTTTTCTTTTTCATTCTTTCATAACCTATTTTAACTCATTTTAATTTGTTTTTATCTGTTTTTAATAATTTTTATTGTCTGCATTTTATGTTCCTAAACTTGTCTTTTTTATTCCTGTTTATGTAAAGCACTTTGAATTGCCACTGTGTATGAAATGTGCTATATAAATAAACTTGCCTTGCCTTGCCTATGTTTTAAGATAACACCAAACAAATAAAAGAAATCTGCAGAAATGACAACTTGAGCTCCTAATAATGGACACTGGATATTATTTGATAGATTTGCATGTCAGCACAAAGCATAATTGTCAGTAATCATATAAACCTGATCTTGTGTTTTTTATTTGCTCTTGGGTTTTCTAGGCTGTATTGACCCTGAGGGACAAACCCATGACTTCAACTCCGAGTGGGAACACGACTGTTACAACTGTGTCTGTGCACATTCTGGCATTCGCTGCTGTAACAAGTACGTTTGACAGTAGCTGGCCAAGACATATCATTTTTTTCGAATGATTATGTTTCCTATAATGTTATAAAGCTTGTTTATCTACATTATATTGATGCTTTGTTTGTTGTTTTCTTTGTGTGTGTGTAGGATCCCTTCAGCAATTGATCACCCTGATGAATGCGAGATGCTTGTCGACAAAACAACCTGCTCTGTTAATCTAGTGCTGGTTTCAGACCACAGCAAACCATGTGTTCTTGCTTAATACAACTGGACACAACACACATCTACAGCATTGCACAGGCCTCTAACTGGATGAAAAGTCTGACAATCAAATAAAGACTTAAGTGATCCTACAATAAAACATCGTTTATCTGGCTTTCAATCTGTTGTGAGTATGCAGAACTGTAGAATGAGTCTGCAGATTCTCAAATGTCTAGCGCGAGTTCTGTGACTGAATTTTTTATTTTAGTTTTAGGTTTTTAATGCTGTGTTCACTACGATTACAAAAATATTCATGAGTAATTGCAACAATAGGGGTATACAATGCACAATGTTATTAATCTGTTGCTTGCGCTAATAAAAACACAAAAAAAGCAAAGTACATGTAAACTTTTAGTTTTTTTTTCAGGCTTTAAAAATCACGAAGCTAATGTATTTATAATATATATTATTTTTTGGTGACACTTATACATGTTATACAGTACTTATACACTCAAACAATTACACTTGCTGTTTATTGTTTTGTTTAATTTAGTTGTTTACAGGGGCAATGCACATTAATCAACGTTACTGTAAAATGTGCCAGTATTAGCCAAGAATGGCTATTAATTATCTGTAGACTCTTGACAGAATGTTAAAAGGTAGAACTAAAAATAGAAACAAAGTATAATAACACAAAATACACTATCTTATACATACATACACTGTAAAAAGTGATTATTTACTTTTTTAAAAAGTGTGTAAACCCACACTGTAAAAAAAAAAGTTGACTCAACTCAAAATTGTAAAGCAACTCGCTGCAAAGCTTTTTTGAGTTGACTAAACTTTAACCCAATTACTGCACTTGGCTTGATTAAAGTTGGGTAAACTTAAAAATGTCCTAAAGCTGGTTGCCTTGAAATTTTAAGTTGGGTCAGTTTTTTTTTTTTTTTTTACAATGCAGTTGCCTTAAAAATGAAAAGTTGACTTTACTTTAAAAAGTGAGTAAACACAATGTAACTTAGAACTGTTAAGTTGCCTTCACTTAATTTTTTTAGAATTATGCACATAGTTCATTTACTTAAAAAAATGCAAGACAATGGGTTTACTCACTTATTTTAAGTCACCTAATCATAGGAGCTAAAGTGGAAAAAAAAAGTTAAACTACTTATTTAAAATGAGCTCAAGCTACACAATTCTTGAGGGTTTTTTTGGGGGGACAACTTGTTTTATGTTCAATCCACTTAAATTTGTAAAAACTAATAGGTTAACTCAATTCCTTCAGGTTGTCCCAACACAAATTGATTGTGTGGACCCAGCATTTTTTACAGTGTATAATTACAATATATACTTATTGCAATCCCACATTCAAACGGTAACTGTAAGTAGATGTTATTGATGAAGTTAAATGAATAGTTACACAGTAACAAGGTGATCTTAAAATAAAGTGTGACCCATTTTTAATCCTGCTTCATTATTCAATTTTACTTGACTTTGCTAATGTAAATAAAACACTGAGCTCCAGTTATTTACTTGAAGTTAATCCCAAAAAAACATCAACTTCTTTCATTGGAGAACTGTGTATTAAGAACATTCAAGTTTGCTCGTCTTCAGCAAGGAGACACATTCTTTTCCCTGAAAATAAGATTTGGCATCATAAAGAAAGCAAAGATTGAACATTTGAGTTGTGTCCCAAATGAAACACTTCACACTATGAATTTATGACAACATGAAGTATACTCAACATCAAAATCTACAAAACTATGCAAGTTAACCAATATATACTTTGATTTGTATTATTTTGTTTAAACAAGCATAAACAAAGTTTATACAAGGATACTTGACTATTATTTCCTCATACGACAAACGACAACCATAATTAAAGACTTTTGAGCTCAACTTATATATTATATCATATCATATGATATCATATCATATATCATATATCATATTGTATCGTATCATATCATCATATAATAATTTGTTTGTTTTTATTCAACAACAATGTAATAATTCAACAGCAGACCAAATGCAGCAGAGCATTCATGTTTAACACATTCATCTTCAAAATAAGTCTTTGACAGAGTCAAATAATTATCGTTAAAAGAGGAAACAAAGGCTTAACTTTATACATATTATACATATAAAGGAAAATGGTCTACATTGCTTTCTTGATGCCTACAGATATTTGTTACAACTTTAGTTGTAAATTTGTATAAATCTTTAGGATCTCATTTGCATATTTTATTATGACTCAAATTTAGGGGCTCGTCTTCTTTTGAAAAATTCAACTTTTGCATGAAAGACATTGTGCAAATTCATACGAATTGACCACTTTTCTTACAATCCAAAAAATAGTTATGTTTCCCTGTGAAATTGGGCTGAAAATCTATACTGGACTGCTTCTTAGAACCAAACAATTATTATATTTTATTCATTCATTCATTCATTTTCCTGTCAGCTTAGTCCCTTTATTAATCCGGGGTCGCCACAGTGGAATGAACCGCCAACTTATCCAGCAAGTTTTTACGCAGAGGATACCCATCTCTGGGAAACATCCACACACACATTCACACACACACACACACACACACACACACACTCATACACTATGGACAATTTAGCCTACCCAATTCACCTGTACCGCATGTCTTTGGACTATGGGGGAAAGCACCAGGCAGGGAGGCAGGGAGAACATGCAAACTCCACACAGAAACGCCAACTGAGCAGAGGTTCGAACCAGCGACCTTCTTGCTGTGAAGGTACTGCGCCACTACCTCGCCTATTATATTTTACTAAACTAGAATTTGTCAGCGTGATAGGCCAGTGATTAGTGCACCGACATATGGCGCGGCTGCACTCCGGGCATCCCGAGTTCGAGTCCCAGCTTGTGGACTTTTCCCAATACTAACCCCTAACCTACTGCCAAAAAAAAATCTTTAAAATGAATAAATACATGAAAAAAATAGAATTTACAATGTACAAAATCTTATTATTGAACATGTATTATTAACTATCTCTCTATTTCTCTTTCCTTTTGTGTAAGAAATGGATCTGGCTCCTAGATAGCAGATATTACATCTGCTTTGTTCAAAGGTCTGACAAACATCTTTAAAAAAAGACTACTGAATGAACATTATAAATTTTAAACATCTTAAAGACGTATTCTAAACATCTAATAACATCTGAAAATGAAAATCAAATAGATGAGTAAATAAACCTGTCTTCCAGATGTAAACGCAAACATAAATGAGACATCTATGTGATGTACACATGCTAATAGAGGTACAGTATACGAGTGTATGTAAACTTTTATTTAAAAAAAATTGTATTAATAGTTTTGCTTTATAGTCCTAATCTTTCTATGGCATTTTGTGTCAGTATAACAAACGTTGGCATGTGACTGAAACTTGTTTTAGAAGAAGTCTTAGATACATTCTCAGAATCCCTAATCAGATTCAAGAGAACCACAAACAACTGTGCAGTTTTTACATGGTAATCATATAAATGTATGTTTAATGTGAAAGTACACTTCAGATATTGAACAAGTATGACATATTTACACAGAAAAGTTCACACGAAAGTGTAGATGCAAATAAAATTGAAGTCAACAGACCACATGTAGAATATCATTAAAGTTGCCTCATTTTACCATCAACAAGACTGCTATAAAGTGATTGGATGAAAAATGTGTGTTACACAGCGATGATGAAGATGTTATTTATTTAAGGGCCTTTAAATAAAGTCTGAAGACCTCTTGTTGGCGATTCATTGAACAATTTTACTGGTCTTCTTGCTTAACATATCCCACCACAACATGGTATGGTATATATATTTTTTACTATTTATCTCAAAGGGAGTTTAATGCTTCTTTTATAATATGATATAATTGTTTTCTTCTTCATCTTATTTTCATACTATTTTTTTTTTTTTGATAGATTGAATGTACAGTAAATAAAATAGGGTTGTATTTTGTCTTGTTTTGTGTGTGAATATTTTGGTGCAGTTTCCAGATAAAAAATAATTGTTTAATATTAACTTTAATATCTAGAGTAGATTGGTTTTGGTGATACATACAGTGCTACATGGACAGATCTCTCTTTTAAATGTATATATTCAATAGGATGCTATACAATAACATGTTTGTGTATATACATTAGATTAGTCAGTACCAGCACCAATGCTAGGGCTAGTTAAGCAAAATGATTTAAACTCACAGTTTAAAAAAAATAGTTAAACTAAATAAATATGCTAAGGAACACATATAATACATTTTTGTTGAAATGTTGTAGTAATAAAGTACATTTTCAACACTGCATTTGAATTGAAATGTTTTGTCTTTCCATTCCTAATGAAGCTCAGTGACCAAACTTGTTCAAATAAATAGAAATGTTGAATTTATTTATTTTTTGGTTTACACTTATACATATATGGTGACTTTTACCTTGGAGAATGCTTTGATCTATCTGAATATCGGTTTTCTCTTTCAGCTAAGGAGTTTTGTGTTGATTACAGCAGTATTGTGCTGTTGTGCCCAGGAAATCATTGATAGTTCAGGAGATGGTGATCAACAGTATGTATATATTTAAAGTGTTTAGCGTCTTATTTACTAATTATAATTTGAATGCAAGTTGAATTAAACACAACTGTTTTCAAAAAGATTTGGAAATCCTGATGTGCCTGTTGGAGTGACTGAAAATGACAACATTTATGGAAACGATGACCAGTAAGTCATACAAAAATGAACAATGCCACTGTTTCCATTTAATAAACCCAGGTAAACAAAAGCGTGCACAAAAGTACTACATTTGTAACATTACAAATACAACATGAATTTAAACTAAAATACATCTTTTAAATACAATTTATGCAATTTAAAAATAAAGATTTTGTAACTTTGTTCCTTTTAATACAGCTGAAATATCTTACATACACATTTACATATACTGATCATATACATTAAATACATGTACAGTAAAACATTAAATAATAAGTAATATATATTATATACAAAACTTTTTTTATAAAAGATTTTGATACTACCTTTTCGATTCGCCAAAAGTATGTGCTCATTGTAGTGGTTATAACAAGTAATTCTAAAATAAATAATATAACTTGATTGACTGGAAGTTATTATGAGAAAGAGAGCAATGCTTCATCAGT